TCTATCACATATTACATCACAAAAGATGTGTTCTTCCATGTATTACATTCACAAGAAGTGTTCTATAACACATTACATCAACAAAAGACGTGTTTTACCATGTATTACATCACAAGAAGTGTTCTATCACATATTACATCAACAAAAGATGTGTTCTACCATGTATTACATCACAAGAAGTGTTCTATCACATATTACATCAACAAAAGATGTGTTCTACCATGTATTACATCACAAATAAGTGTTCTACCATGTATTACATCACAAAAGATGTGTTCTACCATGTATTACATCACAAAAGAAGTGTTCTATCACATATTACATCAACAAAAGATGTGTTCTACCATGTATTACATCACAAAAGATGTGTTCTACCATGTATTACATCAACAAAAGATGTGTTCTACCATGTATTACATCACAAAAGATGTGTTCTACCATGTATTACATCACAAAAGAAGTGTTCTATCACATATTACATCAACAAAAGATGTGTTCTACCATGTATTACATCAACAAAAGATGTGTTCTACCATGTATTACATCACAAAAGAAGTGTTCTATCACATATTACATCAACAAAAGATGTGTTCTACCATGCATTACATCACAAAAGATGTGTTCTACCATGTATTACATCAACAAAAGATGTGTTCTACCATGTATTACATCAACAAAAGATGTGTTCTACCATGTATTACATCAACAAAAGATGTGTTCTACCATGTATTACATCAACAAAAGATGTGTTCTACCATGTATTACATCAACAAAAGATGTGTTCTACCATGTATTACATCACAAAAGATGTGTTCTACCATGTATTACATCACAAAAGATGTGTTCTACCATGTATTACATCACAAAAGATGTGTTCTACCATGTATTACATCAACAAAAGATGTGTTCTATCACATATTACATCACAAAAGATGTGTTCTACCATGTATTACATCACAAAAGATGTGTTCTACCATGTATTACATCACAAAAGATGTGTTCTATCACATATTACATCACAAAAGATGTGTTCTACCATGTATTACATCAACAAAAGATGTGTTCTATCACATGTTACATCACAAAAGATGTGTTCTACCATGTATTACATCACAAAAGAGGTGTTCTACCATGTATTACATCACAAAAGAAGTGTTCTACTAAGTATTCTCTTATTTAAAATGAACTGCATCAATGAAAACTGCTGTAGGTCTTTAAACATGTTTTTTTACCAAATAAAGTCACATTGAAATTGGAGACACGGTGCATAGTACACCACTATGTACACAAACCCTACATTTCAAAATTTATGTTCTGACGTCAGCTGCAATGATAGAAACGTAAATTAATTATTGGAAGGAAATTTGATGCAAATATTATTGACTATCCCACAACATAGATACTATGGCACCAACCGATTGTTTTATGAATGGCAGAAACCATTTGTTATGTCACTGTAGGGGTGATAGGTTGAACATTTTTGAGGGGAAGGCAGCTGTTTAGTAGGGCTTAGCATGTGGTCCCTAAAGGGTTGGCAGTTCAATGTAATATCTCTTATTTTGATGTAAACACTCTGCTATTTTATGTCTTTGAAATTTATCACTTTCGTCTCTCTTTACCACTTAAACAGAATGTTCAGTGAACGTTTTTATGATCCGAAAAGTATTGATGGTTTTTCGTATCTTTTCTAAATTGTTGATTTAAGTTGGAAGAAATAAAAAAAAATCTAACTAAAAAAAAAAAATGTTACTGTCCTTTATAATGCAGAGTGAGAATTTTTATGAAGAGACATTACTACGGATTTCCATTAGGTTTTCCAAACTGGTAATTGTATTCAGAGTGTAAGAATATTTTTTATGTGTACTTTTTTAGACATAGTGAAATTTGGCAGCCACTTGTTGACAATGATTTGATAATGTGAAGATACGTTAGAATATAACTTTATGTAATGTATATTTGCAGCATATTATTTTATGGGTGACAGTGTGATACTAGGCAGATAATTATTGAGTGGTCCTGGCCATCGGGCTAGCTTAGTTTTAGCTGGAAATTTGAAAAATATTGACATTATAAATGCGATGTTTGTGTGTAACTGTACCATAGAATCATACAGTTGTAATGGATTTCAGATATGGGATTCCTCTATAGTTACCCCATAGAATATATTTAGTGTTTTCTCCTGTAAGCAACAAGTAGGTTCTTCTGTCATGGATTTGTGTTCTGGCAGATCAAAAAGAAAAAAAAAAAAATTTGTCTAACTGGGTAAAGTAAAGATACTAGTATTTCTCAGTACCTAAGGCAAACACTGCTGCTATGTGAAGTGGTCTAAGTAAAGCTATGAAAGAAAACCCGCAACATATGTTTGTAGAGATTCCCTGCTGGTAGCATGCAATGAACATTCACCCCTTTCGGCGAAAAAGATGTTATCATCGTATTACTTTCATCTTTTTCGTTGAATACTTCCTTGAACTCTTTCACCCTTCCAAAAAAAGATTTGTTGTTGTTGAGAAAACCATGACGGATGCCACAAACACGTTTCAAGTCACACTGCTGTAAATATACAACTCCTGGTGAAATACTTGGTAACAAAAGAAATTCAAATTATATTTTGTTGTGCTTTTTGAAAACTGCCGCTGATAAACATGCAAGTATGTGTTATGCGGAATATATATAAGGTATTCGGTTGGCCTTTTAAATGCTGGTAAGCCATGCGGAAAATGAATAAATACTGTGTCACTTCACAATTCAAATCTAATTAATTAAAAATTAAGCGAGCATAAAAGGGGGAAACAAAATGAAAGAATTCCTTGGCCAACTGGGAACTAAGCTCTGTCTTTTAATGTACTAGGCTGAAGTTCATGCGGTTGTGTCAAACAACTCACATGTAGTAGAGACCCAATTGATTTAATGGACGCTTATTGCAGCACAATGATTTCTGTCTTCATCAACTAAGTTCCTTCCAAATTTCTACTTTATTGTTCCAGGCCGTTATCGGCATGGCAACTATTAGCATGTGTAAAGCATTGACATCAGAGCACGAAACGTCATTAAGCATTCATTAATAGCAAGTCATGTTTCCATGGGAACACATAGAATGTGTGAAATTCCTCGTCTGAGCTAAAGCAGCCATGTCGTTTGGTTGAGGAACCCACACACTGGCTTCTGATTTTGACTGCATCACCTATCCTGCTGTTCCATTGTAACACTTACGTAGGTAAATGTACCAATTAAAGACCAAAACATTTGTCAGCTTTCAGCCAACCAGGACTGATCTCCAGTCGTCTGTCTCATATACAAATATAAAAATGCAACTTGCCTTTCCTTGCACTTCTAAAATGAACACAATATATTTCATTATTTTTAACATCTGTTTCCCTCTCAATCCATTCATTTTCTGGGAATACAAAAAAGGAAAGCAAACTTGACATCTCATGGTTTAGTTCAGCTCGGGGCCAGAGTATTTGACAAAAGAACTTACGTTGATTCTGTCCTTGCATTCTTAGACAAAACAATTAAGATATTCTTTGGTGTGCTGCCTAGAAACGATAAAGTATTTTTAAAAAATGCACTAGAGTGTTGTATTTAGCAATTCATGTTCATTGCGGACCCTTCTTTCGTCTTTATTTGAATTGTCAGCTGCAATGTATGTGCATGTGATGGATGCATTGCCCCTGGATATCTTTGTGTTCTATGTGTGTGTGCCACATTGCCATGGTAACACTTATTAATTTTTATGACGGTTTTCCAGAGCCTTTTTTGCTATATTTTAAAAACTGAATCTAAATTGTTATCGTGCTGCTTACTTTATTAATGATAAAACTGAATTGTTTTTAGCAATAACAAAATTAAGTTTGAATTAAAAATGTCTGTCTCATTTGTACTTACATTTGAGGATTTAGAATTTACCATACTTTCTACTGTTTTCGTTTTACGGTAAAACAACATTTTTATGTTTTCTCTTTCTCGCTTTGCAGATCGGGTAACTATGGACCAACTGCTCATCATGTAAGCCCGACTAGACGTTCTTATCCACCATCCTTGTTGTCTCGGAGACAGCCTCAGCAACCGTTGAGCGTTGTGATGAAGCTTCGACCGCCACCTGCTCCATCAGCTCCACCCCCTCCACAAACGTCATTACCAGAAACGTCAATTCATGTTAATGGTAAGACATTGCTCAACTAACTGCATCAGTGTTCATATTTTAGGGTTGAAATAGAACATGATACGATGAATTGAGCTGCTGATATGTTCCCCATCGCCCCAGAGTTTTTTTGTTTTTTTGTTTATATGAACTTATATGTGTATGAATCCCCACAATTCAATGATCTATCCCTTATTGTTTGCTGGCCTCTATTCAATGTAGTAGAATGTAGACCACTGATATCAGGAACATACTAGATGAAACCCTAACAAAACTATCGAATAACGAGTCATTGTCTACAAAGTGTCTACATGTGTCACCGATAACCTCTAAAAATAAGTCCTCCATTAAAAACCATTATATCCAATCTCATTCTGACTGTAAATATTTTTATGCATGCTATAAGGTTCAGTTTTCTGTGTCTATTTTTTGATAGCCGGAAAGACATATTTTGTTTGGCGTTAAAACAATAAAGTTTCCAAAAATACAAAAAAAACAAGTCAGTTCTTTTATTGGCATAAAAAATAGGGAATATGTTTTCATCTGAGAATTAATGTGTGTGTTTCATTGTGGGAAATGGTGAGTTTCACTGTTGATTCAAAGGATTGTTACTGGATCCTTTTTATTCTGCAGTCTCAATTTGATATGTATATGTATATGTATATGAGCATGTCAATTGGGTTAAAAGGCTATGAGGTGTGGCTGCTTTTTCACTAGTTTTTTTTCGCCTTTGTAATTGTTTGTTTAAGATAATAGCATGGTAATAGCTGCAAAATGTTTTTTTGGTTAACCATTTTCAATCTGTCTAGAGGCAATTTGCATATTGGTAATAGGAACATTCTGAATTTTTATTCCATGTTTGTTCATTAATTGGATTGAAAAATATGAAAACACTTTAAAAATTGAAGGCGTGCTCTTAGTGTATTCACATATTGGGAAACATGTGACCGATATGAAAAATAAAAACACTGAGATATCCCATAATGCATATCTCAAGGACTGATAGCGCCATACTTCTAAATATAAAACTTGACTCGTATATCTTTCTTTGTTATGTCAAATATATGAACATACACGTCTTAAAACATCACGTACCGTCACTATTTTGAGCAATTTCTATTCCAAATATTTGATGTTTTACAATCGCACACTGGGCTCAGTGTGAGATCAAAATTCAAAACAAGTTCATTATAAAGGATCTAGTTCACTAAATGGTAATCTTTTCAAAATAAACATAATTTAAAAATAAATGAATGTTAAATGGTTGCTACGTGTCAGAAAGTTCAGAGGTAATACTGACTTCATTATTGTACATTCAGTGTTCAGAACGAGCTGCACCATACCTGTGGAAGATTGTTGACAGTAGTTTATTCAGATGCACCAGTTGAGTACAACCAGTTGGTTTCTCATAGCCAGAGTACAAGTATGACAATATGGATATCCTGTTCATTTTGGTAGTACATGGTTGTAACCTGTCTTTGTGCATACCTCCATTAGTGTTCCCCGTCATATATCATACAATGATTTCAAATGAGTTTCTTGTTATGAAATTTCCTAATTCGTTTACAATTTACCTGATGAAAACCTCCATGGTTAGTCCAAATGAATAAAAAAAACCAACACCAGCAAATGATCAGTTGAAACTCTGGGATAAAGTAAATCATGGATTTTCATTTTTTTTGTTATATTATTCGTTTCTCATATGGCCTCATCCTAAATTAACTTACAAAAAAAAATTAATAATTGTTTCTATAATTTTTCTAAAATGTTGATCATGACCTGTAACCAGTTTGAAATTACAGATTCAGTAAATTATTTAGATAACTGTGTTTCAGATTGAAAAATCGATTCATTTCACTCGCACAGTGTCTTTCAAATATGGCCCATGTGGGAAAAAATCTGTACTCTGAGGGCATTGACTTAAAGCGTGCAATGGAACATGTGTAACCAATTTGTCTGGTATTTGTGCAAATTTGTTTAAACGTTTGCGGTATCTTTTTCTACCCCAAAAAACAAAAATTAGTATGCTTCCAGTGATTGCCCACATGTGGCGAAAATAGGAGAAGGGTGATTGCTAGGTCAGAGGTCAAGTTTGTGCAATTATTAAGAAATGTCTGAAAATATGTATGCCAAATCTTGTACGTATCTGCCTTTGATCACTAACATTTCACTGTTCAAACTCTAGAGGGCAGTAAAACCCATTGATGTATTGTCATTGCTTGGTCTGTTGTCTTAAAAACATGTTTTTGTATCTCATTTCATTTTAAAGTTCTCTAACAAACACTAATCCTATTATATTTAGAGTCAAATATACAAACAAAATGTATTCAAAATTAATGCTGAATTACTAATTATCGCACCTTGTTAATTAGTCCCCGTTCGGATGGAGTCTGAAAACGAGGACTTATGTTTTGCCCTGTGTGCGTCCGTCCGTGATCACCTGTATCTCGAACATGCATGGACCGATTATGTTCAAACTTCACTCATACATCACACATTATATGGGACATATGCACTTGCATTTTTTTCATGATCCGATTAACGATAGCCGAAAAGCGGCCATTTT